CAATATTTCAATTTGAGTCAGTGTACAAATTAGCAGTATGGATTAGCTATTAAGATTGATCAAACTTAATTGGGCACGAGTGACTAGCTCAACTAAATGCTTTTTTGTCATGCACACAAATATTTCAATCCATAATGAAGATGGAATAACTATGTAAGACTTTTCTAACTAGCCACTAATACACCTCCCAAGGGAACCTGTTCGTCCGCCACTTACAACACTCAACCGATCATAGTCGTCACCAGTCTTCCAGGAAAGCTATCCAGTATGACACGTGACACATTGAACAACATCTACATAAGTGCCTCGGATAATCGCGTCTACAAGGTACTAGCAAATGGAAATGTCATATTTCCTGATAGTTTGGTGGTGTCGGTATTTCCCAAATCTACGTCTGGAACTGGTCCGGCTCTGAGTCAACTCGGTCTTGTCTTAGCGCTCTTCATTGATCCCACTACAAATAGTATATACATGTCAGATACAGGTACTTACTCCAAGGTTAATAATCAACGCATTCAACGTTGGTTACTGGATGCAGATACCGTTGCAGGTACAACAGTTGCTGGAGCAAGCGTTGCTGGAGTCAATGGCTCGTATAATACGATAACCAGTAGCTATGGACTATTCGTTGACTCAAGTGGTACTCTCTATGTATCAGACAGTGGCCAAGCTCGGGTAACCAAATGGTTACGTTATGCAGTGGAGGGTACTCTTGCTGCTGGTAATGGAACATCGGGATTGAGTCTCGCACAACTCAATGATCCGCGAGGTATCTGGGTTGATGGAGAAGGCAACTTGTTCGTGGTTGATTGTGGCAATCATCGTGTAGTGAAATGGTCAATGAATGCGACAAGTGGTGAGCTTGTAGCTGGTGGGCAAGGTCAAGGCCCATTTGCTGTACAACTGAATTATCCAACTGCCATCACCGTCGACGGCTATGGAAACTTGTATATCCTTGACGCTGGTAATCAACGCATTCAGCAGTTTGTACCTGGTAGTTT